ACATTTCACTAAAGCAGACACAGGAGAGGATGTTCCGCTAAAGCAAGCACATGAAAGGACATGTGATGAAGGATTCTTCGCTAACAACACACATGTATTGGTCCACCTTACACTGTGTAGTTGAGCTGCATTTGCCAGGACTCCGTGTGCATCCAATCAGGCAGAATCCAAAGAAGCGGCAAGAAACTGCAGCATACCACCAGAAGCTTTTTGGTGCATTTTTCTCCATGGAATCCTTCATCACATGTCCTTTCATGTGCTTGCTTTTGCCTTTCACACCTGTGTCCACTTTAATAAAATGTTCCTTCTCATGTTTGCCCCAGCAAAACACCATCCAACTGACTTTCCAAAGAACCCCCAGGTCCCCAAGTTTCTGCTTCAGGCATCGGTTCTACTGTGCGAATCCTGGGGATTGAACTCAGGTTGTCAGGCTCTGCAGCAAGCCCCTTAATCTGCTGAGCCATCTAGGTAGCCTGGCATTCCTTTTTAAGCAAAAATAAACAAACACATGTTATGTAGGTTCTCTAAAAATAAACTAAAAACCAAAACAAAGTACAACCTGAACCAAGCAGATACCTAGGCCACAATTTCCGGTGTGAGGCTGAAGGGAACCTCTGGAGCCCCCTGGACATCTTATCTCTAGGACAGTGTTGGAGGTGGGCTGTCCTGAGAGGACCCCAATCCAGATCTGCCTCTGGAAGCATTAACAGTTTTGTCCTTTTGTGGGGTATCTACCAGAGAAGACTGCTTGGACATGGGCTTAAGCCAATAGAAGGTGGTTATTAGCGGGCTGCCTGGGGACTATGCTAGGTATTTGGGATCTCGATGTGTAGCGCTGAGTCTTTCTTAGTGTAAGCTTTGAATGGCATGCTCCAGTTAACAAGAACAGTAAGCAGAACTTTAGAAGTAAAAAAGCAAGATTAGTACATTTTGAGACGTTCCCATAACTATGGACTTGGATGGATTAGACCTTTTGGTTTTGTTTGGGCAGGTGTCTGTGAGCTGAGCTTTACAGTCTGAATGGTATTCTCATTGTGGAGTCTGTCATGCTAAGGTCTGAGGACCCATTACAGCTCCTCTCCAGCTGGAGCCCCTAATCCCACCCTTATCGTCATGAACAGAAGTCAAGGCTTACACTATGCCCCCAGGCCCCAGGTCAGCCAGGGCCTGAAGTCATTCCAAAGGCAGCGAGCGGCAAGGCAAAGCAGGTGCCTTGATCCTCCTGCTCTCCTCTAAATCCCATTTCACACAGCGGCTGCCGAGCCCTGACACTGTGAACTTGGAGTTCATGTCTCCAGCTCTCCAGGGCAGCGCTGGGCTGCCAGGTTGCCCTCACCACCCACTGCACATGTGGGTACTGGTACAAGATGTCCTTCTGGTTCAAGGCTACAAGCAAGCAGAAACAGCCTGGGCTGGACAGCTTTGTTTTCTTTTTACTTTAGTTTTGCATTACTGGGAATTGAATGCAGGACACTGAGGATGCTAGGTAGCACTGTCTCCTGTCTACGAGGGTCTCCTTGAGGGGAAACTGAGGCCAAGAGAGTGGTAATCAGTAAGACTGGCTAGTAAGCTTGTCATGTAGGGGGATTGCTGAAAACAGCTTGTGGGGCCCAGAATAACAGGGGTGGGGGAGGATTCTGGAGCAAGGCTTGACATTTTCTTTCTGCCTTGACTGCAGGCCCGGTGCGATATGCAGCAGCCCCTGACCGTGACAGTGACGCAGACTGGCTGAGAAGTAGAAATGTCTCAGCGTCATTTCCAGAATGAGGGTTGACCTTGCTTGAACGCCAGCCGTTTGGGCGCCCATGCTCAGGGCCAGAGCAAAGGATTAGAGTTTATACTGCAGTTGGGGGGGGGGGGGGGGGGGTCATGGGAGTTGGAGGGAGTAAGGAGTAAGGGGGGGGGGAAGGGAAGGATCCTGGGAGAAGGGCAGACTTGGATGAAGAGGGGAGGACAGACAAGAAGCAGCAGCAGCACAGGAGAAGACGGCAGCTGGATCAGCACGGACCCACCTGGGTACAAAGCCAAGGCAGGTAAGCCCAGGGCAGCTGAGGCTACTCCCACTCCACAAGATGGACGCAGAGGACATGGAGCCTCTACTGAAGAAACTGGAATGTAACAGCACTAGGATTATAATTCTTCGACTTAACTTTGTCCTTCAAGGTCTTAAACAGGAACCACTGGAGTGGCATATCCTAACACATGGCCCTATGAGACCCAACACCCACAGCACCAGAAAGGTGGTCTGTTTAAGATACAGATTCCTGGTTCAAAAAAAAAATCAAGGTGCATTTTGAAGCTAAAGACCTATGCTTCCAGGAGAACCTGGGTAGTGGATCTTTGGGTTCTGACACGGTGGCTCATTTAAGGCCTCTCAGGTTTAACCTCTCGCCCCAGCTCCTGGCTTGTTGTGTACATGTGGCCAAACTACCCAGGCTGCCTCACGCCATGCTCCCCTCCTACAGGCCTGGGACTCTCCACTCCTAATTTTACCCAGCAGTCTCTCAGCACTCTTCCAGCCAGCGCCTGCTTCTCTTCAGGGAGCCCTCCCCATGGCTGCAACCTCTCTCCTTCCGGTTGAGGTTGACGTAATAGATCCTCTATTTGGGATTGTTTACAACACCCTACTTCACTTCTTCACTTTCCTCGCGGGTGGGCCTCCTAGCCCCCCTGCCCTCCCACACACACATTAAACAGGAAACTCCCAGAGAGCTGGATCCCCAGTTTAAACAATAAGCCTCTGCAGTCACCACTTCACCCTGACACTCCCACCAATGACAAGTGGCGCTGGGAGAACTTTGCTAATGAGGAAGCCCAAGCCTGGCGGTGAAGGCCAAAGCCAGATGAGATTCGGAGCTGAATTTAGAACTCATGTCTGCTCTGCTACTCATCACCCAACAGCTCCAAAGACAGCCAGGCAGCAGGCCTTGTGATCCCATTGCCCAGATAAGGAAAGTGAGGCCCAGAGCAAATGCAATCCCTCAGCACCAGGTCTGACTTCTGGGTTCAAGTGCTGACCTCCTCTCTCTTCCCTCTGATAATAGCCAGAGTCCTTATCTTGGCATGCCCGTGGTGCCACTTTGGACTCCAGTGTTTTCTCCAAAGTCCCAGACTCACCACACCAGTCTTACAGTGAAGTGGCGATTTGAGGGAAATCAGGAAGTACCTGGGCAGGCTTCCATCTTTATCATTCTGGACTTTGTTCTTCTTGTTGGTGTCCAGCTGGGAAAGACGCAACCAGAATGGTTATTTCCCTGATTGCAGGTGGGCAGCTCTCGGCCTGGCACAGGTCCAGCCTAACCCAGTCTGGGGCAAGCTGAGAAGGGTGTGGAATGAGGAGGTCAGGTTGGCGTGTCTAAGAGACTGCCAAGCCCTACCCCTCGGGTGAGGTCTCAGGAGCTTCAAAGGAGGCAGGAATCAGCTCTGCACTCCAGGTGATGAACCAGCCTGCCTCCACTTTAAGCTTAAAAGCCACCTTAAAGTAAAGACAAGCTAGGTTCATTCCTGTTTATGATTAAAACTGTTTCTCAAGGATTGGGCTATGTCCCACTTGCAACCTTAACTACAAATGGTTTTGTACTGCCTGTTCCAGGAAATGGCAACCAGGTCTTTGTTTCAAAAAGTTATAACTATCGGGGCAACCCTACCTTTGTTTCAAAAGGTTGTTATGTCTATCTGTTGTCATGACTACCTTATGACCACCTTGCAATCATGTTTTTGTTTCAGGAGATCCTTATGACTAACTTGTTATGTTTAGGTTCTGTTCCTCTAATCCCACCTATTTCACCCACCAAATTCCCCATTTGGAAACACTCTACCCCTGAGCTACCAACACCTCGTCTTCCTCCTATCCAGTGCTGACCTCTCAGTCAGTGCCTTAGAGGAAGGCAGCCCGTGTACACGAATAAGAAAAGCTTGCCTTAATTGCTTGCTTTAGTACATTTGGCCATGATGAATTGGGTCAGGAGTTGTCCTTCTCCTCTCATCTTTTGCATTAACACAGGGCGGAGAACTCAACCTGTCAACTGGTGTGCATCACTACCAGCAAGGACTTTGGACAATGAGCTAATTAAGTGTTGTGGCACATGTTATAATCCCAGCATTTGAAACAGAAGCAGAAGAATCTGGCAAAGTTGGAGGCCATCCTGGCCCACAAAGCAAGACCCTGACTCAACAAAACAACAAAAAACGGGGTCAGGGATGCGGCTCATTAGGGGAGTCTTTGCCAAGCAGGCAGAAGACCCTGGTTCAATACTCAGTGTTGTATTCTCTAGGTGTGGAGGCTCATACCTGCCATCCCAGGACTGGGGAGGTAAAGACTGGATGACTCTAAGGTTGGCTACATAGCAACTTTGAGGCCAGGATGGCTTGACATGAGACCTTGTCTCAAAGTAAAAACCAGAGCAATAACTTAGCTGTTCAATCCCGTGTCAGGCCCTGTGCTGCCATGACCCCCTCCCCACCTGGGTGACTAGAGCTGCGGACCTAATGAGCTCCATCTAGCCAGTTCCTCTGTTCCCCTCTTTTCTTCAATTCGGACAAGAGCGTGCCACCACTGGGCTCCATTCTGCGGCTGCTTCTTCAATCCCGTGTCCACGGCCTCTTGGCACATCTTCGCAAGGGCCATTCTATTCTTGGGCCATCCATGCAGTAAAGAAGTCCTGTCATCGACGCAAACAAAACTAAGCAAGCCTTAAGATAGGATCTTAAGGTCCTGGCCGGAAACCCCTTTCTATATGCCCAATAAAGCCTTTTTTTTAGCAGGTAGGTTTCCTTCCCGGGTGGGGTTGGTTTACGACCTACACCGGGGGCGCAGGAGTCTGACGCACAGGGCTGTTCGTGGAAGATGACAGAGGGACGAAGGGAAGGGATCCAAAAAGGGACTTTCCCATCCACCGCCCTGCGCTCCTGGCTCCGGCAGCGTAGGCCTGAGAGACAGTCCCAAGAGCTGGAGCGGAGCCCACACACAGGGACCTGGCAGCCTGCCGGGCCGACTCGGAGCGCGTGCGCGCGGCAGGCCGCACCCAAGGCGCATGCGCAGCGGTCACTCCGGCTCTATATTTAGGGCCGCCAGCGATCGCGGCCTTAGGCTGCTCGTGAACAAGGGCACTGATCGGTTTAGCGCCCTCTGCTCGAGTGCCCACCGCCGCCTCGTCGAGAGCCCGCGCAGGTGAGGGCCGCGCTCGGTGGTCGCGGGAACCCGGCGCGCCCCGCCACCGCGGCCACATGCCCCATCCCCCTCCGGCCACCACCTTGGCTCAGCGTCCATTCCCTGCTCTTTACCTCTTGGGCTACCTCAGACGCCCCATTACGTCCCCTTCTGACATTCGGCGTTTGACAGGCGGCTTCAGAACTTCTTTCTTACCCTTTCCATTCTGATCCCAGGGAACCTCTGACTCACGGCTGACCCCCTTCCACCAGTCCGACTCTTTGCGTTGTCTAGCCCTGCTCCTGACGGAATCAGCCCTGACCCTACCCTTCTTTCTGCCTCCTTTCCCGGTTCCAGCTGTAGGGGCATGACCTTGTCTCGGAGACTCAGGGCTGGTCTAGACTCTACCCTCTTCCTCAGATTGCCGGGATCCCCGAGAGTCCTCTCTATCTGGATAGATGACAGTGACTTCTCTAGCCTCAATGTTGCTTCTGGATGTGTGCTAAGATGTCTTAACCTACAGTGTTCACCCTTCGAGGAGCCTCTGGCCTCCCACACCTATTCTGCCTTGTTCTTCATCTCTTGTACTCCCTTAAATATTAGTCGTCCCTACTTACTCCGGTAAACTTGCTTAGGGGTGGGAGGGTTTTTGTAGAGGTAGAGAATGAAGAAGTTGGTGACCTCGGTAGAGTGTGGCTCCCACGCCTTTACTGAGCCCCATGTTGGTTGCTATCCTTAGTTTGTTTTGTTTTGAGTGGGACGTGTGTCTGGGCCTCCCTTGACATCACTCATCATGGACTCTTCTACAGGATCCAGGACACTTTGCAGACATGGAGACTGTCGTTCGCCGATGCCCATTCTTATCCCGTGTCCCTCAGGCCTTTCTGCAGAAGGCAGGAAAGTCTCTGTTGTTCTATGCTCAAAACTGCCCCAAGATGATGGAAGTGGGGGCCAAGCCAGCTCCTCGAACCCTGTCCACTTCAGCAGTCCACTGCCAGCAGGTCAAAGAAACCCCTCCAGCCAATGAGAGTAAGTAGTTGGCAGTGAAGGAACAGGTTCTTGGTGGTGAGGGCCACTCTGAGGGAGCCTTACTCCATCCGGATGGGCCCTTGTGTATGGGGAACAGGGCTCATCTTGTGTAGCTGTCCCTCTGACTCCTGAGTTAGGGGCTTCTGGTGCTCCTGGCTTTAAAAGTAAACTGTACAGGTTTCTGGATTGCCTATCAGGTCTGCTGGGCCCTAGCATTTCCTCATTGTCTGGTATAGTAGTCACTCTTGACCCTTTTCCTCAATAAAGATTTGGCCTCTGGCTTGTACAGCAGTAATTAAAAAATCTGTCTAGTATCTTGAGGCAGGGTCTCACTTTGCATCCAAGGCAAGCCCGGAACTCACTGTGTAGTCTTGGCTGGCCATAAAGTCATGACGTCACCTCTGCCTCCCAAGGGCTGACACCACAGGCCTAAGCTACCACTGCCAGTTTGTTTCTTGTTTTAATTTTTTTATAATTTTTTTTGTTTTGTTTTTGTTTTTCGAGACAGGGTTTCTTTGTGGAGCCCTGGCTGTCCTGGAACTCACTCTGTAGACCAGGCTGGCCTCAAACTCAGAAATCTGCCTGCCTCTGCCTCCCAAGTACTGGGATTAAAGGCATGCACCACCACTGCCCGGCCTCTTGTTTTAATTTTTAAAAGATTTATTCATTTTACTTTGTGCAAATGAGTGTTTAGCTGCACTACAGGCATGCCTGGTGCCCCAGGGGCCAGAAGAGGGGGTCAGATCCTCTGGAACTGGAGTTACAGATGATTGTGAGTCACCATCTTAGTGCTAGATATTGAACCTGAGTCCTCTGGAAGAGCAACAAGTGCTAACCATTGTACCTTCTCTCCAGCCCCTGTTGTTTTTCCCTCTTTAAGAAAAAACAAAGCCGGGCAATGGTGGCACATGCTTTTAATCCCAGCACTTGGGAGGCAGAGGCAGGCAGACTTCTGAGTTCGAGGCTAGCCTGGTCTACAGAGTGAATTCCAGGACAGCCAGGGATACACAGAGAAACCCTGTCTCGAAAAACCAAAAAAAAAAAAAAAACAAAAAAAAAAAACAAGCAAATATATATTTAGGGTTTTTTTGTTTTGTTTTTTAAAAATCAGAGTCCAGATTGCTCTCCAACTTTTGGCAGTCCTTTTGCCTCAGTCTTTTAAGTGCTAGAATTATAAGCATGCACCACCTCAATTACAATGCCCATTTTAATCATTGCAGTGTGTGGTTCAGCAGTATTGCATATGCTCATGTTCTGCCACCTTCATTCAATTCCAGAACTTTCTTCATCTCCCCAAACTAAAAACGGCCATTAAACATTAACTCCCATACTCCTTCCCCCAGTGCCTGGCAGCCACCACTCTGCCGCTGGGCCAGTTGCCTTACGTAAGTGAGGCATGGTGTTTGTTAGTGTTTGTCAGGGCGTGGACCTGTCTCATATAGAGTCCACTTACTCCTGTTGAGCCTTCCACCTTTCAGGCTTCTTGGTGTGTGCCTCTAGCAAAGGAGTATTTGTTCTTCAAGTGGGCAAGACTTAGTCCTTCGAAGGATTTCCTGTCAGGAGTTAGTTGTCTTTTCTCAGAATGTCTGTAGTGGCCATGTTTTGAGGTAGAATGCTCCTTTTCCCTTCCGTTGTCTAGACTCTCCATAACAGATCTGCACACCTTGTAAAATTAAGTTAATTTCAAAATATCATTTCTTGACTTCCCTTTGTAGAAAATGTTACGGAAACTGTGTTGAGACACCTTATCCAAGTGGTAGAAAGAGCAGCCAGTGATTCATGGGAGTATTCCAAAATGATGAAGACTTTTCTAGAAGGAAGGTGAGCACATTGCTCAAGGGCCTGAGGAATGACTGTAACTTAGAGCACAAAACCAGCCTGCTGTGCTAGTGCTAGGTCAGCAGCTTCCTTTGATGAACTTAGATGAGAAAGTAGGTGAGCCATGTGTGAATGAATGTAACCTGCCTGGCTCTCTAATAGTCCTAATAGCTTGAGGACAGTTTGAAGACCTAAGAGACAGCCTGCTCGCTCACTCTTCCTTCCTTCCTTCCTTTCTTCTTCTTCTTCTTCTTCTTCTTCTTCTTCTTCTTCTTCTTATTCTTCTCTCTCTCTCTCTCTCTCTCTCTCTCTCTCTCTCTCTCTCCCTCTCTTTCTTTTTTTAGGACTTTTCCCCCAAAGATTATTTTATATGAGTACATTGTAGCTGTCTTCAGACACACCAGAAGAGAGCATCGGATCCCATTACAGATGGTTGTGAGCCACGATGTGGTTGCTGGGAAATGAACTCACAACCTCTGGAAGAGCAGTCAGTGCTCTTACCCACTGAGCCATCTCTCCAGCCCTAGAAGTATTTTTAAAACTGGTTGAGCTTTATTAGGAATCTATTTAGAAACTATGAAGAGGAAATAACTGTGTGGCTACCCCTAGTTGCCTCAGAGAGCATTACTCTCCTGAGATGCTGAGTGTTCGCAGGATAGAAATTACTTAGCCATGTCAAGAGCTTTTGGAGCTAAGCGCATGCATAATCCTAGCACTTAGGAGGCTGAGGCAGAAGGATTACCAAGTCAAGCATCATGGGCTACATATACACAGCAAGACCCTGTCTTAAACAGATGAAGAAAGAACGTTGGGTTGACTGGAAATACAAAAGAGTGCTCTTGGAGAAGTCCTGTGGGTCTGAGGTAACCTGGATGGGCCAGTCAGCCCTCAAAGAGCCTCCATCACAGTGAGGCAGGTGAGAACACATGTTAGTAGACTTTAACAAAGGTAAACCTGGGCATGGGTTATAGGCTAGAGTGAATATGAAGTTTGAGGCGATAAGGGACGGACTCAGTGACTTGCTCATGCACTCTGTGAGCAGGGCTGAGGCCTCATTCTTTCCATTTCCTTCCTCAGAAGAGAAAACTGCCAAAGCCGCAGTCCAGCAGGCTCCTGACGAGTCCCAGATGGCACAGACTCCAGACGGCACACAGCTCCCGTCTGGACACCCATCACCCACTACAAGCCAGGGCTCTGGGAGCAAGTGCCCTTTCCTGGCGGCACAGCTGAGCCAGACAGGCAGCAGCGTCTTCCGAAAGGCCAGTCTGGAGCTTCAGGAGGATGTGCAGGAAATGCATGCTGTGAGGAAAGGTAACAGAAGTGTCTCAGTGGAAAGAGTGAGGCAGTCCTTGGGGCTCCTGGAACCCTCCAGCATATATTTGAGCTCCTACCATGTAGTAATGATGTGAACACCTTCCTCTTCTGTAGCAGAGAGGAAGGAAGGCCCCTAGCCTAGACTGTATTACAAAATGGGGGACTTGGTTTCTGGTGAGGGTGTAGGCAGTAACCAGCTTCCCAAAGTCATGCTCACTTTCTAGAAATAACCTGTAGTCTTGAACAGATATCAGCATTGGTTTGTCTCTGGTATTACTGCAGTAAGTGTAGCCTAGGACTCCCAAGCTACATGTCCTGCTGATGGTCACGGAGGGACAACCTTAACCCCATCTGAGTTCCCAGCAGCTCCTCAAGGCCTCAGCATGCTGAGCATGGTGGCTCACGCCTGTAAGTCCAGTACCTGGGAGGCAGACGCTGGGGATCGGCGTGAGTGCTTGTTTAAGTAGCCAGCTCCAGGACAGCCAGAGCGGAATAGACAGACCCTATGGGGAAGCTGCCTCAGTAGGCGTTGGGCATAGAGAGACCCTATGTGGGGGAAAGCTGCCTCAGTAGGCGTTGGGT